TGTTATTCATCAAAACTTAGTTAAAATACTTCGAGTCTCTACAGAATTCTGACTACATTACCACGTGCTCTAGTTCGGATTTTGGGAGAGAAGGGGGAAGAACGGAAGCTGAAGGTAGATGCGTTCGTTGCCACTGCTGTTACTGCTGCTGCTGAAACATCCGGATGCATCGCATCAAGTGGGCAAACATATGGAATTGGTGGCCAATGCTTGTAAGAGGAGAAAACGCTTTTGCGGTAAATGGGTGAAGGGGAGGGGGGTGGAAATTAACATAAATGCAGCCGAGCCTTCATCAATATCTGTGCGGGGCGTCTATCTGTCTCTAACTTGCTTTTTCGAGCCAGGAGATGAGGGAGAAGGAGAAGGGTGGAGGTGGGGAAAGGAGCGAACGCGGGTGGACTAGGAAGCCTAGCGTGCCAATGCATCCGCACTTCGCTTTTTTAAATCCCAGTCCTTATTCCTGACGGAGTTCGAGAGCCATGTTCGATTTCCTACGGCCATCAGCGTCGAATCGCATTGTTACGCGTGCCGCTAGCAGCATCCATTACTAAACTTCATTTGCAATTTAAGCATCCTGGGAACATGCTCAACCAATCACACGCTCATTTCCGCAAAAGCAGCCTCCAGCTACAAGAAATTCCGGCAATGCGGATTAATAAGTAGCCAACAGAATGAAAGGGAACAGTAATGAAAAATGGCATTGGCATTTCTGAATTTTAAAACTGTCATCAAAACTTTGTTATTTGTTCCACTAGATAGCTTTTAGGTAACAGCAAGACTCATGACATGCAGTTTTGCCTCGAGTCATAGGATGATTTTGAGCTGGGGCTCGAGTTCGCTGCTCAGGACACAACAGGACTGGCAATCTAATTTAAATTTGCTTTCCTCGAATTAGTTTTCCAAAATTTCAAGTCTGCCCCTTTCTTAATTTTAGACTTACAGCATCCATCTCAGTTCGTGAGATAGAGGTCAGGATAGGGCGGAAGAGAGGGGAAGACTTGTTTTCAGAACTGTGATCTCATACGTGGTCAAGGACGCTGTCCGCAAA